ATAAAAACTGTCAGAACTTGACAAATACTATACATAAACAATTAAGAATGAAAAAGAAAAGAAAACTTTAATGTTTTTAAATCAGCTACTAGACCTGTAAAGAGAAAAACTACAATAATTCAGTTAATTTTTTACAAAATCTATTCAACTAGGGCTAGTTGGATGCAGAATTTAATACGCTTTAATAGCGCTAGAAGAGAAAAAATGTTTAAATTAAAATTAACGATGAAAACATCAGTTAAAGTTGAAAAATTGCGAGAAAAATGACAACTTCTGAATATTTTTGTAATTTTTCTCTTATAAATATTAATTTAAACAAAAATATCGAATATGGGTTAAAAAGCTCTGTTTCTTAGCTTCAAAATGAAAAAAAAATTTTAATCGGTGCAGAAATAAGAAATTTACAACGGTTTTTATACATAAACATACGTAAAAATGGTTTCCTGGCTCTAAAATGAAAATTTAGGGGTGTTTGGAGAATTTTATATACGCCATTCTTCTTAGTTTTTTGTGACCTACAACCTCCAATAGGTTTCATAAGAAGTATATTAAAAAAAAATTTTTTGTAGCACCGTGTTACCAATAATAATTATAAAAAATTAAAAATCTATTTATTATTTAATAATTATTATAAAAATTATTATGTGCAACTTTTTTTTCAAATATATGTTTTATCATGCGAAGTTGGAGTAAGGATCTGATTGGATGACTTTTTTTGGCTGCGTGTGGCGAGACCTGTGTAGTTAGATCATGCCTGTCGTCTCGCACCTTTATCTTCAGTCGTCTTCCGACTCGCCTAGAGGTGCTTCTTCTGAAGGAGTAGATGGTACGAATTGCTCAGCTTCTAAATTCGGTTCAACATATTGTTGTACAACACTGTAAATGTCGATGACCATAATTATTGCTCAATATTTTAGCTAAAATTTCTCCAGCTGTATAAAGTGGAGCCATTCTTCTTTCCACTCTATTAAATCCACTTTTACTCGGCGCAGTAGTAAAGACGATTATAGCATCAAGATCGTATTCGTGAAAGTGCTTTTTAGCGTTTGATATAACTTTCGGAAAACAAAGATTTTCGTTTTCAGAATCCGAATGAAATAAATGCTGAAGTACTGGTCTGGATGTGCCTTGTGATGATCAGCTTCAGGACGACTTAATTTTACTGTTACAGTAAGAACATGTCTTTTTTTGCAGCTCCGATCAATTACTGTTCTGCGACGTTCTTCTGCCGAAGCGCCGAACATAGCTTTTTACGCTTTTTACTTCCATTAGCATTCATATAATCCCTTCTAAGAAAAAGAAATAACTTTCGTTTTAAAACTGAAATTTTATCACCAGAAAGTAAAGAAAAACTAAGTTCATATTAAAATTTCAAAAAATTTCAATTTTAAGAGTAATCGAAAAATATTTACTATTTATATTTTTTGTTCAGCAATTTATTATTCTAGTTTTAGATAAAAATATTAATTTATTGGAAAAATAAGGGGCGGTTGAAGTTACCCACAATTAAACTGCATACAGGAAAACTGCACAGACTTAACTGCAAATAATAAAAGTGCATATGAGTTATTAAAATTTTTTTTTTAACCTTTATGGGACTGACGAGGTACCCGGGTACCTTTTGAATTTTCAAATTGATTTTTTTTATAATTTTTAAAATCGTATCGACCTAAGGTTTTTTGACATCTCAAATTTATCTATACAAAGTGTTTTTATATTATTTATAATGTACCTTTTTCATTTATTTATTCGAAAATAATAAACAAAGTTTCTTCACCCTTAAAAGGCGGACAAGGTACCCGGGTACCTCCATACCTTTTATGCAGATAAACGTAGAAATTTTTATTAAAAGATTATGATAAATTTTATTAAACAATTTTTAAATAATAAAAAATAAATTTCTTACATTTTTATATTTGATTTCATAAATAATCTGCATAAATATGTACCTGTTTTGCAATCTAGCAGATCGCCGTCTTGAACCAGTGTCGTCGTTATTCATAGCTAAATACTATGAACAAAACAATTATTATTTTCAATTTACAAAAATAGTAAATTAACAATTGTAACAAACAATATTTAACAATACTCACGTCAATTAACTACTTAGTATATCCAGAGAAATTGTCACTACACTGACGGTGTGAATGTGCTGCGCGTGGTCTTGTTTATTCTTGCACAAACACGAATTTTCGTGGAAGCGTACAATAAGTTTTCAAGAAAAGAGCGAAAATGTTAAATTGTTAATTTTTGTTAACACGTACTTTTCCTATGCTGTATTATTGCAAATAGTATAAACACGGATACTATTGAATGGAAGATCAATGAAATTGTGAATATATACAAAATACTTATACGTAATGAACAGTTTTTAATAATCAACTAATAATAATATTTTTTTATTAGCAATATTTATGTATAAATATTCATATTATATGATTTTTACTTTCATTTAAACGACCACTACACTTAAAGTTAATTGAACTGCTCATTGTGATACAAAATCTTCAAGAAATTGAACATAGGTACCCGGGTACCTCGTCCGTCCATAGAAGGTGTTTTTTTCCTCAGTCCCATAAAGGTTAATTAAAATTATAAACTTGTTACGTAATGCAACATAAATAATATTTTATAAATTTTTATAACAAATAATAATAATTTAATATTTATATTTCAAATTAAAATTATAGTTATAAAAATTTTATTACAATTTTAAGCCTGGATTCTCATCCAATAGCTTGGGAATTGATTTTGATTATTTTATTTCTATTGAATTTTCTTATAGATAATTGAAAAATTAAGGAAATACATAATATAAGGAGTAAAATTTGTTAGTCACAACTATATAAAGTGACGTTAACAAATTTTGGAACCAAAGGTTAAAATAATTTGGAATCACATAGGTAAAATTATACAATTTTAAAGAATAACCGCCAGCTTTAATACGGCAGTATTCTTTGGAATTGGGAAATTGTGAAAGATTTTCAGAAAGTGAAAGAAGTTTTCAAAAAGAAATAAAGAAAAGATAGTAATTATGATTTTAAAACTTACTTTTTTATTTATCAAAGATAATTTTCCCTGAAGATGCAAAATATATTCGATTAATCGTCCTTCCTTTATAATTTCTGATTCAGTAATAATTGTAGAAAAATCACTAAACTTTTAAAACTTGAAAATATAAAATTTGAATTTAGACTTTTTGTGGGTTGTCTCTTAAAGAAACAGATTTCCAAATAGTAGGGATAAAATCTCAAAGAAAGGGAGATCTTTTATATTTTGCATCTTTTTACAATTAGATTAAATTTTTGTTATACACAATAATAATTTTTATTATAATTTGTTATTAACAATTATTATTTGACTTAATTTACTTAACCTTTTTTAAATTTTGGTTCTACGACGATTTTTAAGAATAATTCATTTCTTAGATTTAATTTATTTATAATTTTCTATAATTATTGTTAATTTTAACAAATTTGTATAATAATCTAACCTAACATTCATTTATAGTTGTAATTATTTAAAATTTTAATTATTTATAATTATTTATTGTTAAATATCAATATAATTTAATTATTGTTAAATTGTATTAAATTTTAATTATTTATTTATTAATTTTATATTTATTATAATTTTTATTATTATTTTTACTCATATTAATAATTTTAAACAATACTTAATTATAAATTTCGATAATTACTAGTTTTTATTAAAATTTAATATAAATTGTTGAAAAATAACATTTTAATTATTTATTAATAATAATAATGAAATTAATTATTGAAGTTAATTGTTATTAAAAATTTACATTATTTCTAAAATATTTTATGCATTCATTCATACTATATATGTGTGTGTGAATTTTAGTATAATATATATTTTCGGAACCAAGACAAATTTTATTACAAACAGAAGGAAATCTTGGCGACAGGGACTCTCGGACCTGTCGTAAGAAAAACGAAAATGAAAGGAAAAGGACCGCAGCGCCAGCGGTCGACATCTGGAGGATGCACTTGTAGAGTTACGAAAAGATTTTATGGTTGTATTTTGTAATTTTATTGCTTACGAATGTTTCGGTTTCTATGATTTTTGGAAAAAGTGCATTCTGTATATGTTGACCACTTAAGGTTACACGTTTCATTATTCGCTCAAAAAGAAAACAAGAGAAAAAACAGATACATTATGAGTCGGTGAATAAAAAGAAAGAACATGATTTTCTAAATAAACAGATGTTTTTTCTTTTAAAAAGATAAGGGACGTGGAAAAATTAAATATAGAAAAAAAATAAAGTTGAAAAAATGACCAGATGTAATAAACTAAATACAATTAAAATGCGCATTGTTAAACTAAATACGGCAAAACTACACACGAATTAAATTAATATGTTTTGAATTAAAAAAATTATTTACGATTAAACTGCACACTGTAAAAATGCTTATATAAATAGAGATAAATTTGTAAAATTGAAAATGCTTACTTTATTAATGAGGATTTTGAAAAATTGAAATTAAAAACTGTATACGGTTAAAATGCATACCGTTAAACTGGATACAAAAGAAACTGCACACGAATTAAATTATTAATATTTTATTTAAAAAACTAATTACGTAATTCGTGTGTAGTTTGCTTTGTATGCAGTTTAACCGTATGCATTTTAACCGTATACAGTTTTTAATTTCAATTTTTCAAAATCCTCATTAATAAAGTAAGCATACTGCCATCTGCTAGTAGGGCAGCAATGTCAAAAACGTTGTTTTGAGAAAAACGGATTTACGAAAACATGAAGTTTCCAACCAAAATAATAATAGTTTCTATAGCATTTCTACACATACCTACTCAGAGAAAAGACAAAAAAAAATCGATTTTTAAAAATTGTGAGTTTCACATATATTGTAAAACTAGATTTTTTTAGAAATTAAATCGCAACAGTTTTAAGATTTTTTCGAATTTATTAGATCGATTATATTACTTTATTTAATACAAGTTTTATTATATTATAGATGGAACATGAAAAATTCGTGTCAGAACAATCAGGAAGTGGTACTGCTCGTGAGGAAACACTCTGTAAATTAGCTGCAGCTTTTGATTCTTTCAAAGAACTAAGAAACAATTTAAAGGAAGGTGCAAAATTTTACAATGATTTAACCCAAGTAAGTTATAATGGCACAAGTTATTTAATATATAATTTAATTTTCGAATTTCAAGTTCAATTACGTAATATAATAGTTATAATTTGATTAGTTTACACCCCGCCGTGTTTGCTTAATGAGAAATACTAATATATAATATAAAATATATTATATTATTATAATAATATATAATATAGAAATGTATAACTACAATTTCCCCACAGCTACTAAATTTTTAGCAATATTGAATGTTGCTCGTATAATCACTCACTTTACGCATTTGTATTATAAATAACTTTATGATGAAATAGCAATATTCTACAGATAGTAAACTAATTTTTAAAGGAAAAAAATGTAAAAATCTTTTTTTTATACGAGTTACCTCCTTTAACAATATTAATAAAATTAATAAGAACATTTAATTTATATCGTTGTTTTACTTTATTTAAAATTCAAATTATTTATGAACATGTTGTAAATATTTTTAAATAAAACAATTTTTTCAGTTGTTAGTGGTTTTCCAAAATAAGATATCCGACTTTTGTTTTGCTCGTAAAACGGAAAAAGAAGAGTTATTTAAGGACTTAACAACAAACTTAGGTCATTCTGGGCCAGCATTAACACCTGCTATTCCTTCTCATCATGAAGGTAATTAAATATTTTAATTTTAATCCAAAAGAAAAAACAACAAGAAACAAAGCTAATATAATTTTAATACTTATTTTATAAAATAATGATTTGTAGTGAAAACATTAAAATCAATATTGAAATCAGTTCTGTAACAATAGATTTCATTATAGTAACGTATATTTTTTACGTATTTTTTTAACTTACCAATTCTTCCTCGAACATTGTTTCCAATTCCATAATAAATTTTCTTAACAGTTTTATGACAAAAAAAGTTAAATTTAAACTATAATGATTGTTAATGTAATATTTATATAGCTCGTCGTGCTAGGATTCGATTAATGATTTTAACAAACGGTATTACAGATTTACGTTGATCGTTGAATTGACTTAAAACTACACGTGAAGGATGATCGACAATTACGAGCGGTTACCGAAATTTATTTTAACGAACTCGAATAACATTAATAAAACGACGATGGGATTGTAGTAGTCTCGAAGTCTATCGAGTAGTTTATGCCTGAGAACGGTTTTCTCTCAGTTGTGTATAAACCAACAAATGCATCTTTCGGTTCTGACTTGGAGTCTCAGATTTTTTTTCTTATACAAAATTATGATAGTATTGTAATGATGGGTGATTTTAATTGCAATTTAAATGTATCTTCCCCCATTATAAACTATTTTACATCAATGGTCCATTCTTCTGGTCTTTTCTTTGTGCCTCATAATTCCACTCACCATATAAACAATACTAGTACCAGAATAGATGTGATGATTGTTAGTGATCTAGATAAGGTGATTTCTCGTGATCAATTTCCAATGCCTTTTTTTATCAAATTACGATTTAATAAACATAAAATTTATGGCTGAAAATACGCCAATACAAAACAATTCTTAATTATTTCTTTTTCGCAACCTTAATAGTATTCCTGAGCGAGAGTTTTTTTTGCATTTATCGACTTATGATTGGTCAAATATTTACAGTGAGCATGATATAAATGTAAAAGTTTACAAGTTAACCTCATACTTAACGGCTGCCTTTGATGCTTTTGCTCCCACTCATGCGTTGAGCAGGCGAAAAAGATTCTCGCCTTGGATGACACATGAGTTGCGTCGACTTTTTAAGGAAAGGAACAAATTGCGTAGGATAGCTAAGAGAACTAAAACTGTTTCAGATCAAAGCAATTTTAAGAAACTTCGCAATTTGGTCCAAACCAAGATTAGAGATGCTCATAATAAATATAATTATAACATGATAAAAAATAAATCGGAAGACATATGGCGCATTTTAAAATGACTTAATATTATTCCTGATAAAAAGAAAATTTGGAGCACTGCTTTCAGGCACTGCTATGTGCCTGAAACACGACTTTTTTGATGTTTTTTCCGTTACACCACTTCGTCAATCATTATCTTATAATAATATACACATCAATTTAAATAATGATATCTTTAATGAAAATGATTTTTTCTTTAGTGATATATGTCCTATAACCTTACTTGAAAATATACATCATATTAAGACTAACGCAATGGGCCCTGATTGTATTTCTATAAAGATGATTAAACTTGCTCTACCAATTATTTTTCAGCCTTTTCTACATATCCGTAACTATTCTATACAAACAGGAATTTACCCTAAGGAGTGGAAAACAAGCCTCATTAAACTTGTTTCTAAAATTCCTTACCCCAAAAAACCGTCTGACTTTCGACCAATCTCAATTGCTTGTGATATGGCTAAACCTCTTGAAAGAACAGTATGTACACAAATGACATCCTTTTTAACCGACAATAATCTACTTGAACCACTGCAAGTAGGCTGTCGCTCTAAACATAGCACTTGTACAGCTTTATTAAAATTTACTAATGATGTAAAATTAGCAATGGATATAAAATATATTACCATAGTAGTCTTTTTTGATTTTTCCAAAGCATTTCCGTCAGTAGACCATAGCATTTTAATTAAAAAATTACGACTTTTTAAATTATCGAAATCTGTTTGTAAGTGGTTTAAGTCTTACATAGAATACAGGTGGAGATTTCTCTGAATGGGATAGACTTGAATGTGGTGTCCCTCAGGGTTCATCACTCTCCTCTATTCTCTTTAATTTGTTCATAACTGATCTGGGTGAAAATCTTAAATTTAGTAAATATCATAAGTATGCTGATGATTTTAAGTTCTATTTGTCAGGCCCATTGTCATCGTTATGTGAATTGCTTAGAAAGATACAGTTGGACATTGATTATGTGGTTGCATGGGGTAGAGATAACCTTGCACTTAATTTGGATAAAACTCAGGCAATGGTGTTTGCGGCTGGTAGCAATCCATCTTTGGATACTTTATCAACTTTACCTCCTCTTACAGTTGATGGAACGCCTATAGCTTATAAAATGGAGGTAAAGGATCTTGGAATGATCCTAGATAGGGGTTTGTTTTGGAGACAGCATGTATACAATATATCTCGTAAAGTGTTTATGGTTCTCCAACAATTGCACAAATTGCAAAAATTAATGGTAAAACCATTTATAAAAACATTATGCGGTGAAATCGCTTCCAAAAGATTCTATGTGGTATGATCACTTTATAAAAGTGTTTACTGCGTTAAACCCGCTCAGAAATAATTACTACGGTAAGACTAATGGTAGAAGTAAAGTTTCTTGCCTGGTGCGTGACTTTTAAAGGCGTTCGGTTCAGTGGAGCGCATGCGCGAGATTTCAGCGGGGGCCGGCCCTAGTTCCTTTTTCGACCCTGGACAAAAATGCCTTGGCGCCCTATACATATAATAGGGAATAAAATTGTTAAGAAGGAAACAAAATTGGTTGCTGAGTCTTAAATTAAACCAGTAATATATAGTAAACATATTTCTCATTAGGTTTGAAATCAGAAAAAATAAATAATTATACTTGATAGTGTTAAATATTATTTACTTGGAAAAAACAATCTTTAACTTAGTCCAAGGAGACTAAAAACTAATAAATAAGTATTAATTAATAAATAAACTATTTAAATATTAATCAATTGAGAACTTTCATTTGACTTAAATAATATCTTATTTGGAATAATTTCGTAAAAATTTACAACATTTTAAATGTGCTTCCGTTCTCAAATAAGAAGAGAAATAGTAATACAATTTAAATTTTATCAAAGCATTGATAATTAATTTTTGCCAATATTAGAACTTTTGAAAATTAGAAAACTCCTGTTTAATTTTTATTAAATTCTTGTTAGAATTTTTGTGAATTTTTAATTAATTTCGTCAAATTGGTACTTGATTTAAGTAACCAATATAAATTGAAGGCTGTAGAAACTGTGGGTGGTTGACAAAAAAATCTGTTTTCCATCAGGGCCGTAACAACAAAGTTTTAGACCACTATTTTAAATATCCCTGGCGGATTACGTAAACCAAAAAGTTGACTGAGCTCGGTCAAGTTTCGGTTCGTTTGGGTTTGAGGCAATATATTGCAAAAAATAATTAAAATATTGGTAAAATTGCTATTAGGAAGTAATAATTAATGTTTTCTGAGTCGATTTATGCAATATTATTGGATAATTAAGCTATTATTATTATTAAATAAATAACTTTGTTAAAGAGTAGTGTGTTTACCAGTCTCTATTTTGTGTTTGAGAAAAAGGTAAAGTGACAGAAAATTAACTTTTTTCTTATTGAATTAATATTAATATTAATTATTTTTGTTATTTATACAATAAACTAGTACTAAATAATTAAATATATAATACATAAAAAAATTGGTGTTGTAACCTTAATACATGCATATTATCGACGTAATACACGCGTTGATCAGTAGATCACAGTTTTTTTCTGTCATTTTGCGGTTTAAAAAAAATTCAAGGATTACCTAAATATTTTTAGGAAATTCCAATACATAATATTTTATAAAATAATTTTTTTGGGACTACAAAAATAATTGCAATAATTGTAATAATAATTGCGCAAGTCATTACAGCACAGACTTCTGCCTGCCGAACCGTGGTGTAATTAACTAAAGATAATGTCACTTTAGTTGCATTAGACTTACAGTATACATCAAAACCAGTACCTCTTTCCATCTTGGATCCATCCGTAAACCAAAGTTCACCTCCAAGTGGACAGCCCTTTTCCCAATCTTTTCTCAAAGGAATAATGGTCTTAAAGCGAGGTTTGAATTTCACTCTTTTGACCATTCTATCCTGTCCCATACTGATTTCTGGGATCTTCAGTATAGAGGCTGGGAATTTTGTATGTTTTCCCCTAGCTCTCCATTTCCCCTGTGCTTGAAGTCTGATCATTGTGAGAGCAGCCTTCTTAACCGTTAAAATGTGTAGGGGTTCCTCCGCCAATAAGAAACCTAACGCAGAAGTTGGCGTGGTTCTCATAGCTCCAGTAACCCCTCTAAACACCATTACTTGCAGTTGTTCAAGTTTCAATTTCACCGTTTTCAACTGGCTTCTAATCCACAAAACAACTGATGCATGCAGAAACCATGGCAACAGGCCCATACGATAGAGCCACTGAACCATATCCGGTTTTAGACCCCAAGCTGATCCAATAGCCCTTCTGCAAACCCAAAATGTAGTGCAAAACCTACTATATTGATACTCTAAGTGCTTTCTCCAGATCAGCTTCTTATCCAGAATCACTCCTAGATATTTAACCGAATCGGAAAAAGACACTTCTTTCCCATAAAATACAGGTTTTCTCACAATGGGAACCTTGTATTTCCTAGTAAAGATAACCATATCCGTCTTGTCTGGAGTAACAGAGAGGCCAGTTCGTTCACACCATCTCTTGACGATGCCTGATGCCCTCTCTGTCAATTCTAAGAGTGTATCCAACGAGAGACCTCTTACAATTATCAGGATGTCGTCCGCATTGATTTGCGTATAAAATCCTTGGCCGTTGAGTTCTACTAGTAACTCGTCTGCCACCAAGCTCCACAATAGAGGAGATAAAACTCCGCCTTGTGGGCAACCGTAGGAAATTAGGCCATTTATTTCGGCTGCTCCATACTCTGCTTCCAGGGCTCTATTATGGAGCATACCCTTACTCCACCTAATCAGTAGATCTGGTATTGTTCTTTTTTTGCAAATTTTCAGGAATTTAGTCAGCATTAACTTTTCTGTTGGTCATATTTTCAAAAAATCATTTTTTTCAAAGCTAGATTGGAAAAACTGAAAAATACCGGATTTTGGCTAAAATCTCGAAAAAAGTGGGTTTTTTGCGGAAGATATATCTCGATCAATTTTTGAACTACAGTGTTCATTTTTTTATGAAATTACTCAGAATTTTATGCACTTTCTATTTTATAATAACTATTTTTATGCTAAAATGGAAGGCGGCAATTCACCAAAAACTTATTTTTTTGCACCTAATGCTTAAAAAATTTTTAGGTTCCAAATGTAGGTTCTTTATTTTTACCCCAAAATGAAGTGTTTAATCAAAAAAAATTGAGATCCTGAGTTAAAACATCTAAAAATTCTAACTTGACTGGACTAATATCGGGGTTTAAGTTTTCATATAAAATAAATACAATAATTTAGAAATTAGAAGAAATATGTTTAATAAAATCGCAAGCAATAAAACTATTTACATTTTTATGAATAAAAACAACATAAACAATAATGATAAACTATCGATAGTGCCATCGATAGTTTTGCAGCTTTAGTGGGAGACTTAATTCGCGCGGCCATAAAGAAACCATGTATCTCCGAATTCGCGTAAAACGGGGTAGCGTAATTCGGGGTTTTACTGTATCTGGTTATTACAAAGAAAATTACTTAGTTAGTATTACCAGTCTTCCTAGTTACTGCAATCAGGACCTTATTTTACGGCAACCTGCCATTCCACGTTACTAGAACTGGACATTTGTAGTTTTAGCTGAATTTCACTACGCTCGTGATTCTCACAACCAGGAATAGTTATTCTAGATAATACAACTATATTTCTGGTTACTGTCACCAGTGAACTTGGGCACAGAGATAGTATCATGCTTGTTCAAAAACTACACGGAAAAAAATTTATTGTGGCAACCACAACACCAATTCCAGAATAAACAAATTGAAAAAACTGCTGTAAACAAAGAAAATAGTGTTTCCAACATGCAGGTTTGGGCAAATCATAAAATAATCTGTTTTTTCTCAAAAAAAATTTCGTGTGCGCCAAAAAATTTTGTTTTGTTCACAAGCCCGATTAGTGTATTTCCCAAAATCAGCTGTTTTGTAGAGACTACAACTGCAATTTGTAGATAACACATGAGATCCTGTAGATAACACAAGAAATTTATTTCAGTGTAGATTTCATTCAACCACTTTTTTTGTTGTTTTAACCTGGACTCATTTCTCTTGATGTAAAAGGAAAAATAGATAATTTTTTAGTAAAGAAAAAGGAAACATAATTTTGGTACAAACAGATTTTCTTCCCTTTATAAACGGTAAGAAAAAATAAAAAGAAAATAGAGAGAAAAAGAATAATGCATAATAACGCATGATGTAACACAGTATTCAAGGTGAAATTTAAAATATTAGATATTCTTGTATATAAACATTTTATTGAACGTTAGGTTTAATTAACATTTTATGGCACAGAATTTGAATTTTATTAATAAACAATTGAATAAGAATTATATAGCACCATCCTTTGAATCAGCATTTTATTCCACTGGCTTTCGAAAAAACATTTTATCAACGGGGATGTCATGTTTATTTCTTTATATCTTTTTTCTAACTTATTAGAATTTAATTTTATCAAAATTATATTATTAGTTCTGTAATTTTTGACTCAAGAGGTTGAATTTTGGTCTATTGTTGCATTTTTACGTCTAAATTAGAAAGAAAATATAGTAATGTAGATTTGGACTGATTTTAATACCAATACAGTAAAAACCCATTTATTCGGACCTCGATCAAACGAATTTTCAATTATCCGGACAAACTTTCATTTCATTTTTTTTCTCAATGATTATAGGCATTTTAATGCATGCCTACTATCATTGTCTTAATATGTATGTGAATTTTATATTTTCACACGAACCGTTGCGTTTTTATTTAAAAAAAATATTTTTGCAAATTTTTCTAAAAAAATTTATTTAAATAAATCTCTCACGCCTTAGATTTTTTTATAATTCCCCTATTTGCGCCCATGTCCCATACATATTTTTTTATAACATTTTGCGTCAAAAACTCGACTAAATTGCTGTGATAGAAGGGGAAAGTGTGCGTAAAAGAACTATTTCCTCCTTTTAAGCACTAGTGCGTAAAAGACAGCGATTTAGTCGAGTTTTTGACGCAAGGTGTTATAAAAAAATTATTTCTCCAATTGTATTTCTTATTTAACACTCATTTTATTTTTTATAGGACCAAGTTCATCAGAATCACATACGGACTCAGGGTTAAATTTACCATACCCATTACAGTATCAAGGTGGAATGCCAATTCCTCACAATATTAGTAACGCTACCTATCAAAGTTATGTTGCTCCTCCAATGCCAACAACGTACAATCCATATGCTACAATGCCATATTCAATTCAAGGTATACATATTGTTTTGTCCTAAATGACTAAATTATTTTTATGTTAATATTTAAATTGTTCCTACTTATAATGAACTTACATATCCCCCAAGCTGTCGACTACAATATTCCCGAAAATCATAATAATACACCAGTGAAAGTAGATCTAGAAACATTTACTCTTTGTCAAAATCAGTTTTTTGCAGTTTGAAAAATCCAAAAAAACTATATCAATTACATAAAAATAAATAAATTATAAAATCAAAATGGTATTAGTTGTTATTTAAAAGAAAATTTTTTTAAATTAAAATATCATTATCATAAAGCTCATTATTATTATTATTTATTTTTCAAAAATATAGGTTCAATTTTTTATAAGAAATTTTAAAATCTATGAATAAAGTAAATAAAAAAAAAGTTATTTTTAAAATTCATAACCGCAAAACTAATGCAATAATGATAATAAAAAGTTAATAATAAAAATAATTCAATGAATAAAAATAAATAAATTATAAAATTAAACGGTTTTAATTATTATTAAAAAGAAAATTTTTTTGAATTAAAATGTCATTATCGTAAAGATTATTATTATTAATTATTTATTTTTCAAAAATATAGGTTCAATTTTTTATAAGAAATTTTAAAATGTATGAATAAAGTAAATAAAAAATATACATATTATTTTTAAAAATCATAACCTCAAAACTAATGCAGTAATAAATAAAAAAAATAATAATAATGAGAATAGAATAATAAAAAAAATATACATAATAAATAATAATAATAATAATAACAATGAAAGAATAATAATAATAATATAATGGAATAATAATATTAATAATTAATTATATTGACTATATGCTTGAGTCTATTGAACGATTAATTTAATTAATCATTCGTTCTCGGTGAAGTACAGTATCTGTACTCAAGCCAAGCACAACATCCGTTTCACATTTTAGTACGGCATCCATCACACAGTGACGCTGCTGCTGCGCTCAACTTGGTGTACAGATGCTGAACTTCTCCATTTCAGATTCCGTGCTTTTCTTTTCTCAGTGAAGTTAAGGAATATTTCATGATTTATATATTTTCTTCATAGTACCCGGTTTTGCCTCACCATCGGGGCAAACCGGATACTTTACATTTTTTTATCTCAAAAACCTAGTTTAAATTGTTCAAAAAATTTTTTCCTGACATCCTTCTTATTTTCTCATTCTCTAATGGTCAAGAAAGAATTTTCAGTGAGACTTAAACTAATTTATTTAATAGATTCTTTGTAAACCGAGAATTACAAAAAGGTACATCAGAATTAAGAATTTTGAATCCAATAACCTAAGGCTATAATATCTTATGTAACTTTTTGTAAAATGTTATAGTTATTTGTCAAAGATTATGGCAGTGATTGTATGTTTCTTAAAAAGTTTGATTCAAAGATGTAAAGGACTCTATCCACTAAAATATTCATTAATTTTTTTATAAATGATTATTTTTCTGACTTTTAAATTTTATTTCTTTCAAATATTATATTCAAAAATAATAATACTAAATTAAAATCACTCTATTTTGCAAAAAATAAAGCACATTTAACATCGGAAACTGTTTATTCTTTTGAAATGCACTTGCAATTGTTTGTTAGTTCTCCTAACTACCGCACGATATAAAACACACTAACAAGGGGAGGGCACTGGATGTTTTTCTGAAAAATTTTTTTTTTATGTTATATTATAGGGTCATATCAAAGAACTTTTTTCACTAAATGCTAACGCGCACTAAGCTACAACAACGGATTATATGTTTTTTTATAATTATATTTTAACAAGAAATTTGTATTACATTGTTAGTAATAACTTTTTGTGTAATAAAAAAGTTAACAAAAATTAATAACACAGGTCTACAAGGATTTTCTTTTGAGATATCAGAGTGATTTCCAATGTATTTTTATATGCTGAACATGATCCCGGGTTCCAGAATTGCGTATCACGTCAGGATTTTGAGTAAAGTGGGGGTAATGTCTTCAAAAACCTTGTTTTTAAGGGTTTTTAGTATTTTTTTTTCTCTTTAACCTGCCGTGATAGAAACTTTTATATAGACTTAAATTAAAGCTTATATCTTACACTTTAAGACTAATATACCCAAGATAAAAAAAATTAGAAATTTCGAAAAAAAATTAGGTTCAAGTCACTCAAAAAGTTTATTGGTTATACTGATAACACTTACCTTAAAAACACTGTTTTTTTGGGTACTTACCACCATTTTCTTAAAATTTCAAATTTTTTATTATCTTGCAAATATGGGTCTTAAAGTGTACGATCTAAGTTTTCATTTAAGCCTATATAGAAGTGTCTAGCAGGTTAGATCAAGAAGAAAAAAAATGAAAACCCTCAAAAACACGGTTTTTGGAGACTTTACCCCTACGTTACTCAAAATTCTGACGTGATACGCATTTTTGGAACCCTGGATCGGGTTCACAACACAAAAATACATTGGAAACCACTATGACATCTAAAAAAACTAAAAAAGTCTTATTTTGTAGACCTGTATAATACTACTGTATTTCAATTAACTTTTAATTATTTATATTTTTAAACAAATTATTTAATTATTATATATATTATATATATTACGTTATTAATATTATTTAAATATGTATAAAAACACTATACAAAAGTACCTGTGTCAAAGTAGGAATCTCTAAATTAAATCTAAATGCCCAGAGAAGTAACCGTTGCACAAAGTGTGTATAATAAAATTTTGTGTACAATGAAAAAACAAAAAAAAATTGTATGTATTACTTCCCCGTGGAAGTAGCATTGTAATATCGAGATTTATCGAACTTAATTTTTTTATGTATCTTTATGTTTTTCGACCTCAGGTATCAAAAAGTCCCTTTTTTAAAAAATGTCGTTCCGCGTGTGTGTGTGCTGGTGTGTGTATATATATACTACATTTTCTTAAATATCTCGAATACTATAAGATCTAAAGGGATAAATTTTATTTAATTGTAGGGCTGACAGGCGGACAAATAATAAGAGTACTTTGAGAAATATTAATAAAGATGAACTATTATTTATTTTCATTTTAAAAAATGGTTTTCTGCCCATAACTTTAAAACAATGTTAGAACACCTATGAATATTTTTCTTTAATTTTGTAGAGTTTTTTAAGACGCATCTTTTGAGATGTTAGCGAACATTCTACTGATATTCTATCCAAAGTTATTGAATTTTTAATAATTAAAGAAAAACGTTTTTTGCCCATAAGTTAAAAAAATGTTTTGACACCAATAGATCTCTAGTTTTGTAGAGTTTTTCAAGACTTATCTTTTGACCTATTAGCGAATATCCTACTGTTATTTTGTCCAGAGTTATTAACATTTTGAAATTGAAAAATTTTGAAAAACAAATACCCAAAAATACAACTTAACACCTTCTTAAAATTATTATAATACCAAATAAGTTACCATAATTTGATCACAAAAAATCTCCATGGGGAAGCAATGTGTTCATTTTATGAACACAAAAAGTTTATACTTCAACTTGGCAGCGGTGTTTTACTTATCTGAAAGCTTTTGACGAACTCAGTTTTGCTCATGATAAAACGATGCAATTGCAGGCTGCAAATAAGTAGCAGCATTATTCTAAAATAAATAGGCTTATCAAATTGACAATATGTAATTAAGTATTTTTCAGGCAAAAATGTAATTAAATTTAATTCACCTCTGATGAGTCCCTACACTCCATTTGTCATCATTCTCGTCAACTACCGCATCTTGCTCTAGTGATAATTTAGTGACTTTATTGTTATAATTAAAAGGTAGATACTATAAAGTTACTAATTTTTCACTAGAGCAGGGTGCGGTAGTTGACAAGAATTATGACAAATAGACAATCGAGAAGAAAAGTTGCAAAAGCTGTTAAAAAACGTAAAAAAAATTTTTGCATCATGAAAAATTTGGCGCCTTAGTGAAATGAGCGCCCCGGGCTATTGCCCGGCCGTTTGATCGCCCCTGTAAGTGCACTGAATTTGAAAGTTTTAATATTTTTCGAGATGTTTACAAAAATGTAATTTTACAAATTAGAGCAATATTTTTTGCTTTACTTATAACTTTTTCCCTACTACAAATAGAGAAAAATGTTGAGAATGTTTTTTACGTAGAAGACCTTAAACTTTTAGAAAAAAATTATTTTTTTTACAAAAATATTAATTTTTAAACAATTTGTTTAAAAAATAAAATTTGTTTATAACTTTTAAACAAGTTCTACCTTATTTTGAAGCGCGAAAAAAATCATTAATATTGTTTAAGTCATAATAAATCAATGGTTAAATTTCTGAGATGGCATTATTTTCTGTTTTTGAGATATTAATTAATTAACTAACAAAAGTTAATAAAAAATGAAATATTTTACAAACAAATAAAATTAGAGTAATTTTGAAAACACCATTCCAATGTTTATCGAAATCCGCATCCAACAAGCGCTATATGAACTATTTTGGATAAACGGGTGTTAAATTAATAATTAATAATAAAAATTATTTAAATAATTAATAACGTTTGAAGGAATGAAGATAAACCGTCAATTCTTTTTTTATTTGGAAGATCATTTAATTCTGTATTAAATAAAACCAGTGTAAATAACCTTTTTAACAAATCTAAATTATTAACAAATGATTATTGAAAATTGAGGTTTCAGCACCCTACGACACAAGTTGGAGGGGGCTGCCTACCTACTCGGCATGGTATTTTTCAGTCTTTTTTTAAATAACATTTTATAATTAATTTTTGATTCTTGGTAATACTTAATATTCTTTTTTTGACACAGAATTAGATGGTCTTCCAAAAAAAAAAAGAATTGACGGTTTATCTTCATTTCCTTAAATGTTATTAATTATTTAAATAATTTTTATTATTAATTATTAATTTAACACCCGTTTATGCAAAATAGTTCATATAGCGCTTGTTGGATGCGGATTTTGATAAGCATTCTAATGGTGTTTTTAACCTTTAAAGTGCATCATTGAAAA